ATAATAATAATAATAATAATAATAATAATAATAATAATAATAATAATAATAATAATAAAAACAATCTTTAGAGGGAGCGCCCGTCACGTAAATACGTGGTTTTCAGGGAGGTCCGCTATAAAATAAAAAGTATTAAAATCTAAAATAAGAAATACGAGTATCACAGATCTAAAATATAACATATACAATAATTAAAAATACTAAAACTACCAAAACTGCCTACTGTCACTTTTCTTGAAAATGATACAGCTGCGTGGAAACACGACATTGCAAACCAGTGTGTTTTCATGTCGCGGGTCTGAATGCATGGGTCACTATAGCTAGAATCTCTGTTATAGTTAAATTTTCGGCGATTTCTCAACATCAGAAAAATAAACTATTACTGAGTTATAATCAGATTTTATATTTCAGCTATCATTTAACAAACGCGTTATTCACCGGCTCAGCTAGTAATTAAAATTTTGATTAATTCTCAATCAAAGAATCGCGCCTGTTGTAACACAGTGGCTCTGGTCAGCGCCCTCACCCTCGACTGTCCTCTTCTGGTCTAACGAGCTCACCTACAAAGGGGAACTGAACGTATTGAGAGTTTGAGACTTCACCCTGGCTCTGCAATTTAATTTCACATCGCGATTCCCTCTATTTAAAGGAATCGTTAAAACCCCTGCATTTCGTACCTTTGGTACCGTCGGGTGCACCGTTTTTACTTAATAGAGAATGGAGGCAAAGAACTAACTACTCTAACTTGCCTTTCCCCCCAGTTTTCCTCATTTCACATTTCTGCAGGGGCGTAGCTAAGGGGGGTCCTGGGAAGCCCGTGATACCCCCCCCCCCGCTTTTGTAAGCCTTGTTAAGCAAACAACCTACAACATGTGGCGAAAACGACATGACAATCTGGTGAGTACCTTCACTTTGACACAGTGTTCCTCCCCCTTTGAAAAATCCTAGCTACGCCCCTGTTTCTGCCACCCAACTGCACCTGATCAAAAAGCTAACCCTTGAGGGCGAAGGGTCTAATTGTTTTAGTATCACCCAACTAGTCGGACAGAAAAGACAATAATAAAG